GATACGTTTGACTTTAATGGGAAAAACGAGTACTCTGGAAAAGTTTATTTTGTAGAAAAGGAGGAAAGGGTTTACCAGGGAAGGAAAATTCTGTAGAAATTTTTATCCTGCAAAATTTCAAGAAAGCACAGAAATCTGCAAATGCCACAGAATGGGATAAGGCAATAACAGAAGAAACAGCCATAATGGAGAAAAGGAAAATTTTGGTGTTAATTGAGAAGCCAGAAAGGAAAAATATACTAAGAAACAAATAAGTGTATTTTCTGAAAAGAAATTAAAACAATGAAAGAGTTACATGCACATCTAGTCACACGGGAATTCAGGCAGAAAGAGGGGAAGATTTTGATGACATTTACAGTTCCATAGTTAATTCAATCATAAGAATATTTTTCAAAATACTTACATTTATATGGATAGACTAACTGTCAATTAGACATGAAAAGCATATATTTATATGCAAAGCTGAATGAAAACATATATATGAATCAGCATGATATCTTTACTGGAGAAGAATAATGTGTTTATTGCACAAGACCATTTACAGTTTGCATGAAAGCAGCTCTGAATAGTTTTGTAAATTTGAAAATACTCTAGAAAATCTAACTTTAATAAAATACTATGGTGTAATTGTGTTTATTAGATGTTAACATTTTGTAGATAATAATAATGAATAAGTTTGAAGTACAACAAGTTGAATATATATATATATATATATGTACTACATATATAAATATATGTAATAATAAAATTCCATAGTCAAGAATACACTTAAAATTCTAAGTGTGTGTTCTTTTCATTTTTAATGGCGACAGTCTCTTATTTGAAAGTACGTGGAATTAAATCCACAGCCTCGTAGTCAAGTTGTTTTTCCCGCCTTTTCTACACGTACAGTTATAGAATGTTCCGGAAATATTTAAAGCGAACTGGATTGGCTGATGAGGCTGACGTCATTTCTTGGAAGCTCTGCCTTTCCAGAGGCTATAAAAGGACTCGCAAAAGAATATCAGGGGCTTTTCTTAAATGTCACGATGCAGTAAACTTCATACAAAAAGTTATTAGTAATTCTTTTTATTTACCCCGGATATCTGATTTTGTAACTGCTATTTCTCCTGAATAATAATAAATGGATCCTGTTTTTTAAACTTATCGTCTGATAATTTAAGCTACGACTACATTTATGATTCTTCACCAATCTTTTATTCTGGACAAAAGCTGGTACATCACATATATATATTTTAATCTTAAAGTATTAGGCAGAAATAGACAGTTGCTTAGGATTCAGTTCTTTGAAAATGAGAGTGGGACTTTTATACAGCAGCAAACATACATCAAAGAAATTTTTGAAAAATCTTAATATTTTATGAAATGAATAAGTTTACTTCCCATACCTATAGGCACTATTCTTACAAAATTAGACTGTGCATCTACAAGTGCAGAAACTAATGAAATGCGTAAATTACCTTTTCAAAATCTATTGGAATGTTCAGTTTTTGTAGCTAATAGCATTAGGCCTGATACTGCATATGTGGCAAATATCACAATTCGGGGAAAATCCTGGAATTTGACATTGAAAAGCATTTTTGAAATTGCTTAGTTATCCTGATTGTACTAAATCATCAATAACTTTTCAAGGATTAAACATCTAAATGTATACTGTTATTCAAATGCTGATTATGTTTCGCGAATGATTTCTGTATCGGCGAATTTTTTCTTGCCAACCACAAATGAAATTTAGAAACATTGGAAACTTTGAGTACAATTTTCGGGTATTCGTTTGGAGTATTCTTTCCGTGTAGAAGTAATGATTGATGGTTTTCCTCTTTCTGATTAATAATGTTGCTAATTTTGCACTTAGAATTTTAATATCATGCATTTTTACTTCCTTGTACGAAGTAAAAAGGAAATATTGTAATCGCGAAAAGTTTCAGCCAGCATATTTCAACGAAAATATCCATTTTGACCGCTATCGAATGCAATTTAACCATGTTTTTGCGTGATATCTGTACGTAAGGACAGAATAAAATACTCTTTTCCTTTAAAAAAATTATAAAACTGCTTTAAAATTAATTCGGAAGAGAATTTTTCGTGGCGTCTGTACGAACATATGTACGTACGTGCGTACGTTCGTACGTATCTCGCATAACTCAAAAACGAGTAGCCTCAGAACGTTGAAATTTTGTATATAGGACTGCTATAACATGTAGATGCGCACCTCGTATTTTGGTTGCAATCAGCCGCACCAAACGTATATAAAATATATTTATATATATATCCACTCTATTACCCGGCTCAGTGATCTCAGTTTCTTTACTCTTTATGTTTGTAAATTGTACATTTTTTGCTTTAAAAATGATTGAATTATGTTGTTTTATATTCCGGTTAAGGATTTTATGCCTTTAGTAAATCTGTGTGCAATATTTTTAGAATTATCAGCAATTTTAAAGTCGTTTAATTGCCGCTAAGCCTGTTTTTAATGGCGGCCATTGATGTTTACATTTGAAACAGGAGACTAGTGGATTTGTTGCCAATCTAGAGAAACTTAGCTTCGCAACAACAAAGGTAACGCATTCATTTATCATTGCCAGTTAAATCGTACTTAATTCTTTCTGGAATTTTTTAGAGGAAATAAGCGTTTGAGATTTACTTCGTAATTTTTAATATAGAAATTTTGAGTTTTTATGTATTTTTGCCTTCTCGCGAAGTGAGAACTGATTTAATTAAATGAGAAATACTCAATCATCTGTGAAAAACTGTTTCTTTTTTGTTTTGTTTGCTTAATATCTTTTATACATAGTTCTAGCTTTATTATAGTATTTGAATAGAACATGTGGCAAAGATTAGATAATTCTTTAAATGATATACATTTTGTGCATTCTGAGTTATAATATGAATGAAATACTGTTAAGTAAACCTAGCGCCAGAGTATCGCTATGGTAAACAAAGTGAATTTTAAAGAATGCATTTATCCTATTGTGGTTTATGCGCTGTCGGCGAAGTAGGTTTAATTCAATCTAATAAGTTTAAATAAAATGCAATAAAAATGTGTATAATTTAATATTCCGTACAAGGAAGTCATGTGGTGTACACATCAGATTTTTTTTTATGAATGTAGTCTGATGTATCTGTATAGAATTTATTACACACACATATATCATTAGCATTATACAAGAAACATATGAAGACATGAATTAAATTTGAAATGATGCATTTAGAAACATTTATTATAAGCAGTTAGCGTTTTTAGAATAGAAAGGAGAAATAGCCAAATTAAAATAGAAAGACAAAGTGATATTTCAAATTAAAGTTAGAATTTTAATTTATACATTTATTAGAAGTAATGTCATTTCATAGTATGAAGTGAAAATAAATGAAATTACAGTATATTACTATTATTTTAATGATTTTCAATGTTAAAATATTTTTTAAAAAAATTGTTGAAAAATTCTCAGATCTCTGACTTAAATGTTTTCTACAGAAATTTATTTTAAAATTGCCAGATGTTGACAAGTCATCATTAAGAGCTCTTTATTAGAAAAAAACGAAATAATTTCAAAATGCCTATGTTCACTTCTTGCCGAGAAACTTGAGTATCCCAACATTTATATTAGAAATAAGAAATGTAACCCTTGAACCTATTCAAAAGATAATCATATTTGTCATTTGATTGCCAAAAATATTCCTCCAAAAGGCTAATTTACACTCAAAATGGCAGCCCTAAAAACAGACAGAAATTTCAGATATTAAAATTAAGGACTTTCTGCCCATTTTGGCCAAAATGAACGACTTTTAAGGGCTTCCGTACGAACCCTGAGTTTATTAGTAGTATTTTTTTTTTTTTTTGTGCTATAAACTATGAAGTTTTTTCACTCTCCCAATCCTCATAAATATCTGTATTTATAACCCTGAAAGTATTAAAATTGTAAGCTAGAAAACTCCACTTTTAACTATCTGAAATAAAAATACCCAGGCACCTTTTACTCCATTTAAGTAACTAAAAATTGTTTAACTCTGAGCAAGTAGTGAGTAACCCACTTTATGAGATAAATTCATCTAGCTTTAGATCAAACCCACAAAATAAGATTTACAATTACAATAAAATTTCTTTTCTTATTCCTGAAGTACTTTTTCTTCCTTCAAATAATAGTGCACAGTGTTATTAAATGTGATAACATATATTATTACAGCTCATATACTTTTCATCATGATAAAATTATTATTGAATTAGACTTCAAAAATCATTGAATAGACTTCATTTTGAACGATTATTGAATTAGACTTCAGTTATTGAAATAAACTTCATTTTCTCAAAAATGTTGTCCTATTAAAAATGTCCAAATAAGACAACTGTCTTTTATTAATGCTGAAAAAACTGTATTTTTTGTTTAATATGATAGCTTTAATTTGAAATTACAAATTCTAAAACTCTTAGTTTAACATAGTGCCTCTTAATTTACAACTGAAAAATTTTTACTGCTTAGGATTACACAATTTGTGCAATTGAAATTTATACAAACTATAACTTTCCAAATGTAAAATAAAATTGCCCAGGAAAACATGAATAAATATTAAACTATAATCTTTAACAGAAATATCTGAATAGTAATGAAAACCATGAATGAAAACTGTCATTCCTTAAAATCTGTATTTGGAAGAAGTAAACTAAACACATATTCACAAATCTAGAATAATAGCTTATCAATTTCAGCTAATTTTATTTGAAAGCAAAACATCTGTCTTGCGTCTCAATCTAAATGGCTTGAGCCTTAGCATAAAATTCACAAGTTAAGAAATTATTAAATCATTTATTTTACTTAAATTACAAATTTAATTTTTAAATATTTAAAATAATAAATTTAAAATATTTAAAATATAAAATAATAAATGAACTAAAATAACTAGGACAAATTATCCATCAGAATAAGCAAATATGAATTAATAATTTTAGTGTATTTTAAAAATATAATAGAAAAGCTTACACTCACTAAAAATCCACATAAATTTCATGATATAGAAAATTCCTTTATTACATTTAAAAAGAGGTTTGGAAAGAACATCAAATATGCAGCAGATACTCTTACCTTCAGAATTTTCTCAGAATTTACTGGTGGTAAAATTGAAGTATTTTTCTTTTGACAGAGGAATAATTCATGGCCTAGGTTTCTTACACGGCACTCTGTAATTTTTAATAATGTCACAGTTTTAATGCTTTCACATATACATAAATAATTTAAGAACTTAAAGTTTTGACAACTTTCACAATGTTTTCACAGGAAAATCTTTCTGAAATATATTTCCTCGAAATTTCAATTAAATTTACGTGCGTGTGTACATATGCATTTCAGACATTTTTACAGTATCTTTTGCATAGAAATCACAATTATTATTCTACTGTTTGTATAATTTTAAAATAATAGCATACAAAAATCAAAGGTCTGGAATCATCAGAACTTAAGCAATTCCAAATTTTAGAAGTTTCGATCATTAATTTAAACCTTGCAAAATGGAATGTAGAAATTATAAAGTTAAACAGGGTTAGTAGCTACATTTTAGTTTTTTAAAAAAAAAAAAAAAAAAAGTACCCATAAGCACTTTTCAAGCACATTTTAAGAAAAAATATAAGCACCTGTCTAATTACATATACAGTCAAAAGTCGTTAATTCAGACGCCCATAATCCGGAATGATCTATAATCCGGACCTCAAAGCTACAAACTTTCTGCGCATGCGTCGTATTCACGCATGCGCATAGGCATTTACGAGTGCGCGTAAGACCTTTCCGGCTGCAAATATGTGTGTGCGCATGCGCGTTTAATGTGTAACGGAAGGTATAAGCTAAGCTAAAATTAACTAATTCAGTTAATGTTGCAGACTGCGTTGTTCCTTAATCTTCGAATTGGATTCGGCTTATTATTTTTTGCAGACTGTTAGAGCAATTTTATAAAAGTAAGCTTGAACTTTCGATTATGTCAAATAGAATTTCCGATATATATTTACTAATATGTAAAAGATCTACAAAGCGAAAGTATGTTTTGAAATCCGAAATCTGTTTATCAATTTCACGCAGCCCCACGCAATGAATTGGAAGTTGATTTGTCAGCACTATCCTTATCTTCAGGGCAGATGTTTTTATTTTATTTAGCTTATAATTCCTTACTAAATGCAGTATTTGATCTCGATGTACTCTGTCTTTGATATGATTTAAATCAAGTTCCTCATCATTATAATTCGCTTCCGATAGTAAAGAAAGTGACCCAGAGGTTATTGAAAACGAAAATATTTTGATTGACAAATTAGTCAACAACACAGCAATTATAGGACTTCAACAGTGGAACTTTGTAACTAAACAAGAAATTATGTCTGTTTAATAGAATTAAAGAGAAAGTATTATCACATGAAACGAAGCAACTTAAACAACTTACATTGAAAGAAATGTTTAATAAAGTAAACAAATAAATATTAAGCTTTTTCTTTTTGTAAATTTTGATATCCTTTAGATCATAATTGTTCTTTATTTCATAAATCACGGTTTCATATTTTTAATTTTGTAATTTCTGCATGCCATCTTACCAGATTTAAACTGATGATCTATAATCCGGAAAAATAGATAATCCGGAATTGCCGAAGTCCCGACGAGTCTGGATTAACAACTTTTGACTGTATACACAACTGCATAGCCTTAAAAGAAAAATTTAATTTGACTTGTAATTTAAAATCTGAGATTCAGTATTTATTATGAGAGAATGAGCATTACTCAAACATGGAAAAGAATTATTATTATTATTATTATTATTATTTATTTTAAATAACAGTTCAATTTACGGAACTAGTTTATAATGACAGAGAAAAAAAAAAACTATGCAAAACTAAACTATATTACAAGATTTAATGATGAAATTTCAGTTTAAAATTGAGAAAATAAATAATAATAAGCCATATTTATTATATTCACACACAATAAATGTTTTTTATGCTTATTAATGAGCCACATTTTTATTTTTGACTTTTTTTTTGTCTCTTTTCATTAATGTCTGAATCCAGTTCTCTAAACAGAGTTTGTTCTTCACAAATAGTTTTTTAACATTTCATTAGATTTATTTAAAAGATTCAAGTCTTTTTTAACCTCAGCTTTTTCAGCAAGTTAATTTGCTTTATTTTCAAGCATTTCTAAGAAAGTTTCTTTCCTTTAAGAGAAATCAATTCATCTGTTTATTCTGCTTTTCTTTTTTTATCCTGAATAATTTTTTATATTTTTTTTATTCTGAATAATTCTGAATAATTCTTCCCCCTCCCCTCCTGCTCTTCCAGGTATAACAGATACTGTGAATGAGCTGATGAAGTTACCGCTCTCATCTCTTTCGTAATTGATACATTGTGAATGCCATCAGCATCTTTCCCATAATCACCAACTATACACTGAGCAGTGTATGAATTCCCCCCCCCATATTTTCTGTTTCTATATTTTATTGATACTAAATCCTCATTCAACAGAGGCTTGCTCATAGGAAATATGAATTCCTTAATGAATGCATGCAAAAAAGTACCTAATCTAATTTTTTTTTTTTTTTTTTTTTTTCCAAATCATAGGTTTTTTTAAAAATTCTTTAACATATTGCAGGATAACAATTTCTATGAAATTGGAATATTTCAAAAGAATGTAACCACTTTCTTTGGCTGCAATGTGATCTTTTGGGGGAAAATGCATCAATATACTTTTCATTTTCTCGTATGCTTTTGTGCTGTTTTGTGCCATATACTTTGGATTCACAGAAACAGCATTTAGAATTAGTCTACACCAGCTTTTCAAGTAGCTGTAAAATAAAAGTTCATGAGTCACATTTAAGAGAAAGGTAATCTTTATCCATGATTTCTTTTTGAGCATATAGTTCTTCCAAGAGTTTCTTGGCCTTAAATCCTAAATTAATTTTGCTTATTTCATCAACAATACTTTTCTCAGAAAATATTACATAAATAGTTCAATGATGAACTGATTTTTAGCTTGTACTCTTCTTTTACAATTTAGAAATGCTACAAAAGTTGCTTAACTAATTTGTGTAAATCAAAAGCAAAAACAGGAACAAGTGTTTCATCACTTTGGTACAATTCCAAAAAGGGTTTGACCAGTTCAGCCACACAAATGAAAAAAATCTGATGTGTACATCACATGACTTCCTTGTACAGAATACTAAATTTTTGCATATTTTCCATTCTCAATTAGCTTGACATAACCTTTTATATCTTTCCAAATTTCAAACACATGCAAACATACTGGTACATTCTCGATCTACCTATAGTTACAAAATTTCATTGGCAAAGTCTTATGTACAAACACTGTTAAACAATCTTCTCAATGTGCTGGAGAATCTTTGAATAGATGGTACAGTGCACCTAAAATAGAAGGTATATTCCAGCTTGTAGACGATACTCCTTTATAGAAAGCATTGTTCAAAATATGCAAGCCACAACTACCAATAGATATAGATTCAGTGACATATTCCTTTGTCATTTCATTTTGGAGGTTTCCAAAAAAATTCCAGTTTACAGCTGACCCATCCATACTTATTTGTAGCAGCTTTTTTATATCTATTTTTTTAACTGCCATTTAAAGATTTTCAGAAATATAAGCAGCTGTTGCATGTCCCATGAAAACAGATGTCAAAAATCGAGTTACAACTTTTTTTTTACCAGACTGCCAACATCTTGATATGCAAATCTTGCTCTTCTGATTTGTTTTATTCAAAGGCTAGTCAAATAACAAGATAAAGTGGAATAACTTCTTAAATTTGTCATACATTATCCTCTGAAAATATGGTGTTAATCCAAAGTGGCAGAGATCAGAGAACACACTTAAAAGAATTTTGTCCATGTCATTGCTAGATTTATTAGAGTAATGACTTGTCACCACTTTCAAACACCGCAAAACTTCAGCTTTTAAAGCATACTTTGAAGCTCCTAGAGCATCATCTAAATTCAAGTCGACACGTGTTGCAATACACAAAAATAGGTGTAAAATGCATATCATAATTACATCCTATAACATATTAAAAAAATTTCCACAAGAAAAACTGAAGTTTCGCAATGGATAGGGTTCTACATGACGAGCAACAGCATAAAGCAATGAAATTGTGAACATATAGCAAAAAATAACTGAGCTATCAGTCTTTGAACAGTAAAAGGCAGTACAGTCAAAATAGCACATGAATAGCATGAAATTAACCAAAAGACCAAAGTAGTGAAGATGAAGAAAATATACAAATATCCGATGTGTCTATTTTCTTTAGAGAGCACATTGTATATGATTAATGATGAAGACTGTAACAGAAGGATCCGCAGCTTGGAAATGTAGGGTTTTACTCATGATGCTTTCCTTTAAAGCATTTAATGTACTACAATCATTTCAGTAGATTTACAAGCACCCCCTTAAGCCTTAAGACCACAAATAATAGGTATCCACCTAGAGGATTAGCTAAAGCTGCAGACTTTCATACTGTAACCATTATTCAAATGTTTTCCAACAAAATAATTTAAAGGTTAATTAACTTAAATAAACAGGATTTTCCCATCATATACATATATATTATTGTGTCAAAATAAATAGTTAAAATAAATCACTAAAATATAAGCAAAGAAATGAATTTGTATGGTAATTGATACTAACCGAAATTATACATTTAAAAATTTTGTCTTACATAGTCAGTACACAGCAGTTAAATTTTAAAAAATGAATGCACATCTTGAAGTATACCTCGCTGAAGTTTCTTGAATACAGCCTTATAAGACTGCAGCTAACTTATTGTGGCCTTTCAGTATGAAAAGTTTTCCCATCTCACATACAGTGTGAAACAATATTTTTGAATCTTGCAGTAATTAAAATTATTTTTTGTGTTAATGATGAAACAACATAATTAACAACTTAAAAATATTATTGGGATAAATTTATCAGATGCATCAGACCACAGGAGAAACTCAAATAGGAACTAATATACTTGTATATGAATACTGAATTGAAGAATTGCTCCAAGCCCAATCTCCTAACAATGATAATATCCAGGATCTACTAAAAGATATTTGGCTAGATCTGTTTTTGACAATATAACCAAAAATGATGAATTAACCAAATTTCTTTTTTTTCCTATAAAAATTATTTCATACTTCTATTTGGTTAACTATATTAACTGAGGGGAGAGAAACTGTTTTGGTTTACATATGGGATTAATTTTACGAACTAACTTGTAAGAATCCCCACTCTTGAAATTTTGTTTCTAGAAACAAAGATGAAGCAGTAGATTTTATAATTCCTTTCTCAGAAGATATGATAAATAAAAGAAAACCTCTTCTCAAATTATTTATTGCCTTATATAACAAAAGACAACAGAACAATGCTATACAAAGCATAAATTGTTTTGCTTCATGAATAATACTAATATAGGCTGCCCTACAGATATATGTTATTTCACAGAGATACTTTACTAAACATTAAAAAAAAATGGTATTAGTTCTAATATGGTGCAGTAGATTTAACCAGATATGATCAAAATGATAAATTAGATCCATACTTAGGCATAATAAAATAAAATAAATTTTAATTCCTACAAAATTTTTAAGAAACATTCCAGAGTCATGGATTCAAATTGGTGGGAGGGGGAATTTTGAATTGCTGACCAGTATATTTTAAAGCATGCCCAGCATTATAGTATTAGGTCATTACAGTACATCATTAGCATTATAGCATTACAGTATTAGGTCATTACAATACATCACTAGCATTACAGCATTACAGTAGGTTAAGGTCTTGTAATATCAATAACATAAAAATATAAACGCAAGAGGAAAATGTTCTACATTTGGCAACATTCAGTACTTATAAATGATACACCTTTGTAGATTAGCTTTCAAAGTATCTATTAAACTCTATATGTAACTAACAGCATTAAATCAGAAATTAGCAAGTATTTTTTAATTAAAATAATAGCAACACTTTCATACCAGAGTCAAGTCGATGGAAAGATATTTGAGATCCATTAGAAACACTTTGCTCACAGGGAATTAGGATTAATAATTGACATTTATACAACCAGTTTCCCCATGTTAAATGAAATGAAGCTTGCTTTTCATCTAGTGCTCTTAGCATCCAATATCGTTTACCTCTATAAGAAACAATGTATTTAGTAAAGTGTTGATTCCAAAAACAAACATAAGCAACTTATGAAGTATATACATATACTGTACATAACCACACACTTCTATTATATGCCAGAAAAGCTGATAACTTACGCTAAGGGAAATTGTGTTAGTTTACATTTCATTCTGTCTACAGATTCTAAACTTTGATTTTCAACACTTTTTCTGAAAAGAAGGAAAACAGGGAATTTAAGAGAATTATATGATTGTCAAAATAAATACAGACATGTAAAGAATAAAAAGGAATAGAAAAGAGGAATTACTTTGTTAATGCTGTGCACTTTTCTTCATCTATATAATTTCCTTCATTGGAACTCGTACAAGAATTGCTTTCTGCCCTTAGTTCTGTTTTATTCTCCTGTTGATTTCGTTCATTTTCTTCATTGTGATCTATGCAAGAACTACTATTCTTCTTAACTTCAATTTCATTACCCTGCAAATTAGTTTCATTGCAAATATTGGAAGAAGTTGCTTTAATTAAACAAGAAATTTCAGCATCACTTAATCCATTTGATGACACTATACTAGTTCTAAAAGGCCTTTGCATCTCTGGATTTTTGGTTAGATTATCAACCTTAGCCAAAGCTGGAACTGTACAAATATAACTTCCTTCATTGGAACTCACACAAGAATTGCTTTCTGCCTTTAGTTCTGTTTTATTCTTCTGTTGATTTTGTTCATTTTCTTCATTGTGATCTATGCAAGAACTACTATTCTTCTCAACTTCAGTTTTATTACCCTGCAAATTAGTTTCATTGCAAATATTGGAAGAAGTTGCTTTAATTAAACAAGAAATTTCAGCATCACTTGATCCATTTGATGACACTATACTAGTTCTAAAAGGCCCTTGCATGTCTGGATTTTTGGTTAGATTATCAACATCTGTAGCCAAAGCTGGAACTGTACAAATATAACTTCCTTCATTGGAACTTGCACAAGAATTGCTTTCTGCCCTTAGTTCTGTTTTATTCTTCTGTTGATTTCGTTCATTTTCTTCATTGTGATCTATGCAAGAACTACTATTCTTCTTAACTTCAGTTTTATTACCCTTCAAATTAGTTTCATTGCAAATATTGGAAGAAGTTGCTTTAATTAAACAAGAAATTTCAGCATCACTTGATCCATTTGATGACACTATGCTAGTTCTAAAAGGCCTTTCCATGTCTGGATTTTTGGTTAGATTATCAACATCTGCAGCCAAAGCTGGAACTGTACAATTTGATTCATGGGTGTCATTTTTTTTTACTTCAGAGACAAACTGACTGTCTGAAATTTCAATCTTTGCATCATTAACTTCCTTATTTAACTCACTGTCATTCCTAGAAAGAAGTGCACAGTCAATATCTGAAGTTGGATCCACAGTATCATCCGGGATTGCATTACTTAAATTATACAGCTTGAAATTGTGTGCTTCTGATGCAGATTGATTGCCTGTCATTCCAACATGTAATTGACTAACATCTATATCAGGTACTTCAGAGTTGGAACAAATCCTATTTGTTGAAGGCCTAGTTGGTAAAAAAGTGGGTTTTGTAGAAAGAAGCTGAAGGTTTTGTATCTCACTACTACTGCTATTCAGATCTACTTCATTAGCACATGTGATTGGAGCCACATTAACATCTGGGGTTGTATTTACTGAATTATGAAGCTCAAAATTTTTAGCTTCTGATGCAAGTTGATTGCATGTCTTTCCAATATTTGCTTGACTTTCTGTATTCAGCAGTTCAAATTCAGAGCTAATGGTACCTGCTGAAAATCTTGTTAGTAAAATGTTGAATTTTGTAGAAAGAGTTTGAAAATCCTCTTGATCACTATCATTTTTAATACCAAGTGAACTTTTCGTATCTGTGGTTAATGTTACATTAACATCTGGAACTGCATTTACTGAACTGAGAACATCAATTTTTTTCACTTTGGGTACAAGATGAGTACATATCATCTCAATGTTTTTTTCATTGGTTCTCATATTTAGCAATGCAGATTCTGAACAATCTGCATGCACGGAGGATTTGGTTGGTGAAAAATTAAGTTTTGTAATGCTTTGTAGCTTGCTGTCATTAAGATCACATTCAACAAATGACAGTTTTTTCTTTATGATACGATTATTTAGATTAGCTGATAAATCTGCATCCTTTGCACATGGAGTTGTATGAAGAAATTTAGACAATTCATTTGTGGGATGTTTATAAGATGTAACAGAAGACAATAAAAATTTTGAATTTTCTAACAAATTTGAATTTACTGTGCTAATTCGTGATGCACTCACTATTTTCTTTGCACTCATTTCCAAATGATCCTCACTTGCAACAGTTCTTTTAATTAAAAATGAATTTTCATCATAAGTACTCACTGCAGTTTTCCGAGAGTAGATTGTATTTACAGAAATGCTGCTTTCTAATATAGAATCTGGGAGTAATTCAAGAGAATCCTCACAATTATTTTCAAAAGAACTTACTGCTTGAAATGTTTTAGAATCTTTTTTCAGGGTTGTACTAAATTCATATGAGGTAGGTAATTCTATTCTGGGAACACTTAGAATTTTACCATTGTGTAATGTACTGTCATTGCTTAAGCACTGTTCATATTTCTTTACCCCATTACTATAAGATGCAACTTCATACTGCTTATGAATTTCAGAATCATTTTTATAGGCATCAGTATTTATGCATGTTATATGAGACTCAACATTAGCGGTTTCTTTGCTGGCATGTATAGACCCCTGTGATGAATGAGAAGTGCATTCTGTAAAAATGGCAAAACTTTTTCTTTTTACAAGTGATTGATCTTGGAATTGAAAAGAATCACTTTTAACATTAGAAGTTCTGGCTTCCAGACAAACATTTGGCAATTTTAACCTCAATTCTTTTTTGCCTGAAAACACATTTTCTGGAAAATAATATACATCACTTATCTTTTTCTTAATATCTGGATAATTTTTCATTTTCTTAATGGTATATAATATGCCAGTTTGTAATGGATTGATTGGTTTCAAAAATCGAGATTCTAGTCTTGTAAGATTTGGTATATTTGAACTTAAAGAAAGATTCTCATCTGAAAGAGTTTCCTTTTGAATTGAATCCCTTTTGAGTCTTATATATAAAGGTAAATTATAAGAATTTTTGTTACATTTGTACAACACTTGATTATTGGGTATATCTGATATACTAGTTTTAGATATGTTTCTTATACAATTTGAACTATATTCTTCAGCTGGCAGTTCCTCATTCATAGTATGTAAACTTAAGGAAATGTCATGACCACGAACTTCAACATCTAAGGATAGCCTATCAGGAATTTCAGCATGCTTAAAGTTATGTATGGCATTTGCATTTATAACGCTAGACTGCTTATGTTGCAGGGGTGCCAGATCAGATGCAGTTTTACACTTTTCTTTGAGAATTGTATCACATGCTTCTGTGAATCCATTATCATTTTTAACTTCACAAGGAAAAATTTTATTGTTGGAATGTATTAGCAGGTTATTATCCTTTAGATTAAAAACTTCATCAAGCTGTGTCTCATAACAGTTAGAATTCTCATTTATAGTCTTCGATTTGATATTTTCATTCTGAGTAAAAGTATATCTAATCCTCTTTGTAGACTTCTCTGTTTCTGGGATTTCAGGAACTAATGCACCTGATAAGGAGGAACCAGCATGTAGATCTATACTATTATTAGATTCTTCAAAATGATTGCATGAAACTTCAGGCTTTAATATGCTCCTATTTTTGTTACAAGGAGAGTATGATCTTTTTTGTCTAGAGTGAGTAGCAAACATTTGAAATTTCTCAGAGTAATTTTTTGCAATAGGTGTTACAGACTTGTCTGAAGTAAAACGGTCAGTTTTTAAAGATACATTCTTGAAATTATCATAACTTGATAATTGCTGAAAAGAATTTTCTTCTCTAATTTTAACATCTGAATTTTTTATCCCCACTGCACTGTTTTCAACATATTCAAGCTTTTCATCTGAAATTTTTGCTTGATTGCTTTGATCCATGCATTGAGCATTGGAAATTTGGCCATTTAAATTATAATTCTGTAGTGTAGTCTCAGATTTAGGTTCTGTATGTTTTGAAATGAAGTCAGAACAGTCTTTCAAAGATACTCTGCTGTTAGGACTTACTCTTCTAGTTTCAGCTACTGGTAAATCATTTGAAAATGAATTATGAGACAAGCATATGCTCTTATTACTTTTTTCAGAAGAGATATTCTGAATGCTATATTCACTTGCATCTAAATGCTCAGCTAAATTTTCAGAATTGCACGTCATTGCCATAGGATCTGAAGAGAAATAACATGTATTTTTATCAACTATACCATTGTCCTGGGTATTATCATGATGATTCACAGCAGAATGCTCAGACTGATAGCTTTTTCTAGAAGAGGTATTGTCCTGGGTATTATCACGATGATTCACAGCAGAATGCTCAGACAGATTCTTAAAATTACATGTCAAGTCCACAAACTCTGAGGTAAAATAACATGTATTTTTATTACTTGCATTAAAACTAGTATCAGCTGGAAGTAATTTCATGTTTAGCATCACATCTGTTGTCTCATCTGATTGCTTTTTATGACATTTTGATCGAGAATCTAGATCTGTTTTTAAAGTTTCATTTTGAATGTTAATATCTGAACTTTTTACAAATTTAGTATTGTTGGAATTACAAAACAACATAGCTTTATTTGGATTTATAGACAGATGCTTATTCTGCTCTTTAGTTACATTAAATGATTCTTTTGAATTGATTGCTTCTAAAGTACCATAGCATGTGGAAAATTCTTCAACAGAATTTTCAGAATTGCAAGTTAATTCCATAGGATTCGAAGTAAAGTATAAAGTATTTTTATCAGAGTTATTAACATGAACAGATATATCACTCTTTTCTTTAGTGTTACTGATGTGACTGCAATTACTATCAATGCCTAATAACTTAACAAATTTCGAATTTGAGACCATACTTCCATTCACCTTACCAGCTTCTTCATTTCCTTTAGATTCCATTGAGCATCTCATAGAAACTCCTGAGATATCTGGTACAGAATCTGACTGTTCTTTCAAACTAACATAATATGCAGTTTTCTTCAGTTCTGTGCTAATGTCGGCATCTAAATCAAATATATTTTTATTTGAGTTCAATGCTGTAGGCTGAGTCTTTATGTCATAAACAGGTACAAACGGAATTTGTGAATGTATTTCAGAATTATTAATCATTAGTTTCTGATCCCCATTTCTAGCACTTAAATTAAAGTTACTACAAAAAGATTCTATTCCTGTTTTTTGAAGTTCCTGAACTGGTGAACCAGTAAAATTGGAACTAGCACATAAGTGCTTGCTACACTGCAAAGAACTTGCTGAAATCATATTCTTTAAGTAATTCTTAATTCCTGTGGGAGACTGTTTAAATGAAGCTTCAGTATTATGAGTCAGGTCCATCATATTTGATGTAAAATAATGAGTATTCTTATCATTGATATCATATGAAAAATTTTTACTGCTTTGTTGAATTTCATCTGTACTAGTATCTAATGACAATGCTGATGAGTTAATTGCTTTCAAGCGAGACATTACAGTGGGATTTTTTACTAAGTCATTTTCATTTTCCTGAGATTGCATTAGATTCTCTATTCTTGAAATATGTGGCTCAAATCTGGGACTCTCTTTAGTAATCATTCTGTCAAAACTTTTCTTTGATTTTATACAGCTCTTGCCATCAAACAAAAACCCTTTGTTTGAATTTAATGGTACATATTTGTCATCTATATTACAAATTACATTTAGGTGATTTGAGGAATGCAAGCTATTTTTACCTAAATCAGCATTTTTGGCAGTTTGATTAAAACTTTTGTGCAAAGGTTCTTCTGCAAGTTCATTCAGGGAAGAAGCAGATGCACAAGTGCTCTCCATATTAATACTAGAACTTTCTGAAGCAATATTTTCAACACTATCATACATCACAGACGATTCCTTAAGTGAATTTTTAAAATTACAAGTTAATTCCATTAGATCTGATGTTAAATAATCAGTATTTCTATCATTTTTTTCTATTATTCCAGTTTGATTAGAATCAAGATTAGATAATTTAAAAGCAGAAATATGCTCCAAGTTTAAGGTTGCATTTCTGTCCATCCTTTTATAATATTCTTGTGTTGATATCGTTAAATATTTTAAATCACATTTTGAAGCAAAAGAAAAAGGTTTGAAGTTTTCTTTGTTACTGTATATATCTGTATTTTTATTCTTCAATTCATTGTGGCTTCCAGTACCAAGAGTAAACATTTCATCTGTATTCTTAACTTGATGGCATAAATTAAAGTTTAAATTCGTACTGACATTTTTAGAGGAAGACTTGAGAAAAGTTTCCTCTAGAGGTTGCCAATCATATTTAGGCATTTCGACAGTAGAAGAATGTGCAGTACTACTATTAACAAAATTTTTTCCAGGAACAGCTTTAAAAGTATCTGAATAAGTTTGCTTTAATGGATATTCAGAATTGCATGTCAGTTCCATAACTTCTGAAACAAAGTGGCAAGTTTTATCAGTAACATCAGAATGTACATTCTTTTCATTTTTTCCAGGAACAGCTTCAAAAGTATCTGAATAAGTTTGCTTTAATGGATATTCAGAATTACATGTCAGTTCCATAACTTCTGAAACAAAGTGGCAAGTTTTATCAGTAACATCAGAAAGTACATTCTTTTCATCTTGAAAAACCATGTCATCATCCAAAAAGGTTGTATTTACATCAGAACTGCATGGAAATATTGTCAGTTCCATATCATCACTTTCTTTTACTTCAAAGATCTCAGGTATAATATTTTCTTTTTCATCACTGTCTGATATGTTCTTTTTCTTTCTACGAAAATTTAAGGTCTTTTTAGTATTTTTAGATCCAGTGGAAGATAAAAATAAGTTTGTTTTCTTCTTTGCAATAGGCTCATCAGTATCTTCCATTTTATGTTTCCTAGATACATTAAGAGATTTGCTTTGATCTGCTTTATTTGATGCATTCACATCTGCATTTTGACCATGTTCTTGTTGCAAGAGGATTTGACAGTTGGAATCATCTATTAAGTAAATAAATATGCATATATATGTATGGAAATAGGCACTCACATAATTTTTAAAAGGGAACAATAAAAGAAATACAGCACATTTAAACTTGACTGATTTTCAAAAGTTCTTTTTCAATATTCTAAAATACATTTTCACTTTTAACATATATGCATAGTTCAATTAAAAATACCTTAGCATTAAATGAATGAAACAATCTTAAACCTAGAAAAAATGACACAAGACAAGAAATACAAATTTATAATAGTGTTCTAATAATCTCACTGAATTTCTGATTTACTCTTAGGTTCTTGTATCAAAGACAGCAGAGGTAGCATATTTATATCGCTTGAAACATCAATTCTGTATTTCAACAATGACAGAAATTTTGAAATATAATGTGCAAAATAGTCTACAGGAGAAGCGGACAACTTTAAGACCATCCATGGCAAGCCTTGCTACTTACAACCAAAGTAACATTGAAAGAACCAACCACGACAATATAAGTATGCTGAGCACCTGAATGCAAACTGGAAAACCTCACCAATGACGCAAGAAATTGTATTTCTTTCAGCTTATGAAGAAAAAGTATTTTTCATTTTGAAATTAAGAGAATATCATACAAAATTCTCTTTGGTTGCAAAGGTAAAGGAATCTCATAATGTCTTTTCCAGTAAAGATGTTTAATAAGGCATACAGTTTGAAAAACAACTGGAAAAGATAACAGAAAGCATACAAACAGTACAAGAAGAATCAGGTCATAAGAGACAGAACTTACTTCACACATAGATGAGATTTTAATCCACCATAGAAATTTTGATGAAAAAATGATTATAGAGGAAAGTTTCATAAAACATTCATGCCATCTGTTCCAACTAAAATTCCCTAACGGGATAAACTGATGTTTGGTTTTCCCGCGGCGGGCCGAAAATACAGTTAAAACACACAGGAACGAGGATATGGTAAGATGTATAAATGTGCCGTGTATGATATTTCATATTTGTTTCAATCATGCTGTTATTGTTATCAATAAATAATCATAAGACAACTTAAATGACTCAACACTTCAAAACGAAGACATCACATTGATTATTTAGTTGTTATAAATTGATTTGAAATTTAGTTTTGAAAACAGAAGTGGTTTATGCAAACGTGGTGAAACGAGTTGAAAGGTTAAAGCAGAAACAAAACTGCATTAGGCAGCTTTTTTGTAATCGTTTGGCAAAAACTGAAGATGCAATAAATAAACCTTTAAGTGAAAATTACAGTAAAGAACACAAACTTAATGATCTTTATGATCAAAGAAACCAGTTGATTGAAAAGATAAAGAATCTTAAGGGTTTAGATAGTGAAATAGAAGCGATAATTGGTATAGATGAGTCAGAAAACGAAATTGCTGAGAGTGAAGAATATCAGGAACGTGGTATTCAATGGAAAACGAAACTAGATAGGCATATAGAAAGTGTTTTAACGGGACTTCACAAAATGAAATTCGGGTTAATGAAAGTGTTAGGTTGGAACAACGCGTAGTAAGAAACAAAAGCAGTGTAGTTAAGCTTCTGAAATTAAGTATTGAGAAGTTCTATGGTGATTGTAGCTCTTGGTTGGATTTCTGGAATTCCTACGAAGTAGCTATTCATAATAACAATTCCTTAAGTAAGGTTGAGAAGTTTTCGTATCTGAAAACATTTTTAGGAAGTATTGCCTTATTGACAGTTTCGGGATCTTCATTAAAAAACGAAAATTATGATTTCTCAATTAAGTTGTTAAAAAGAAAGATTCGGAAGGCTAGATTTGATTATAAGCTCGCATATGAATAAACTGTTGCTGATTGATGCCGTTAAGACATGCACGAACGTTACAGCATTGCGAAGAATATATGATACAATTGAAATTCAAATTCGATCATTAAAGGCTTTAGGTGTTGCAGCAGGCACTTATAGTAGTTTACTTTGCCCGGTAATACTACAGAAAATTCCAGAAGAGCTAAATTTGTATTACAATAGACAACGTGAATTGCGCGAATCATCTGATATAGAGCACTTAGTTGAGTTTTTGAGAAAAGAGGTAGAAATAAGAGAAGCATCTTCTTTATTATCAGATTCAAAAAAAACTTTAAGTGAAATAAAATTCCCTTTAGTAATAGAGGAATGAGTCAAAATTATCAGAAAAATTATGTAGACTCAAAATGAAACATTTCAAAAGCGCGCATTCCAACAATAGCTGCTTTAACAGCCGTAGCGAATGAAATATGTAGTTTTTGTTCGGATAAATCTCACGAAACACATAAATGTCCTTTACCATTAACAGAAAAAAGAAATTTGTTAAAATCACAGGGGCGATGTTACATTTGTCTGAAACTTAGATCTACCTCAAAATTTTGCTGGAAAAAGGACCAGATCTGCAAATTATGTAAAAAACCTCACACTTATTTAATATGCGATAAGGCTGAACCAACAAATAATGCAGCCGAATCAAATGGTAAAGAAACGGACAATAATTTATCTGCAGTACAGTCATTGCATTGCTTCGGAGGAAATAAAAGGGAATCTGTAAACAAAACCGACAGTACAGAAGCGTTGTGCCCGGTTTTACTACAAAAACATTCAGCGCTAAAAACAAATAAAAAGAGCAAAATCTTGAGGGTGTTAATAGACAGCGGGAGTAACAGAACGTTTATCAGAAGGAAAACTGCAGCTCATTAGGATTGAAGGCCACCAGATGTGAAACGTTTGAAATATATGGGTTTGGTAGCGAGCGTAAACCTAAACAGCAGTATAATATAGTTCAGCTTGATTTGCGGAATAGAACCAACCCAAGTAAAAAACTCCGTATAGAAGCAGTAGTAATTGGTGCGATTACGCATGACCACATAGAAGTTCCTTCAAAGTGGGTCAGAAACATGGCTCTAAGTAAGGGAATAGAATTGGCCGACATTGGAAATACAAAGGAGATACACATGTTGATCAGCTCAGATTACATTTGGGAAATTTAAAATGAAAGAAACATAAGATTAGGGAAATGATTAGTTATCACGGACAGTTTATCTGGGTTTGTAATCCAAGGTAAGGAAATTGGATCGGATAAGCATGGCAATTACGAGTATGATAAGACTTGTGCAAACCATATCTCTGCAGGGTTGCCACTCAAACAGGAGAATGAAATTCCCTGACTTTTCCAGGTTTTCCAGGTGCGTTTCAAGAAAATTCCAGTCTATCCGCGTAATGTACGTTGGCTACGCTAAGAGGTAAATTATGGTATTACTTGTATTGTGTAGCAAATTCACTTAATTATTCAATAAATCCCAGAGGACATTTATTCTTAATTATTCTTGGTATAATTTGTTTGATAATTTTGTTTACTTTTCCACTTAAGAAACTTAATAAAATTTAAGAATATATACATTGGATAACAAATTGTATGTTTTATTTAATTATTACTCATGATCATCACCAGTTCAACACGAGGCTTAATCCGGTCCTTATAAATTCACAACGCAATGCTAAATAGTTAGGTTAGATTTTAGACAAATTTAATTTGTGTGAGGTATGTCTTCTTAAAAAGCACCTTAACACTTGAAAACACAAATATAATTATAATAATTGTTGTTTTCTCCATTGAAGATTGAGATTAGAATCTTCCCAATCTGGAATAAAATAAGGCTTTTTTTGCAAACATTCTGCAGCTAAACGAAACAAAGAAATCTATTTTAATAAATTGAGGTATTTTATATTTAGTTTCGCAGCATACATAAGAAAAAAATATGTGAATTAAATTTCGTGATGGTATGTCATCCATACTGCTAGAATTAATTTCAAGGATTATGCCAGAGAAAATTTCCTGAAAATTTAGAAAGTTATATATTTACTAAATAATAATAATAAATTTAGAGGGAAGAAGCATCATTAAATGATACGAAATAACACAAAAATAAAGATATAATTATTTAAAAATTGAATTACAAATAATCAACAGTATTTTTAGCGAAATATAGTTATATTACAATGGTTAGCCTAGATGACACTGATTACTATTTTTTTATTTTACTGCAAAATGGCAAATGAGGCATTTATTAAAAAGATGAAAGTTTAAAAGATTTTGCGGTAAAAGATTCTTGCGGTATAATCGGTAGGCTATATGGCACGATTTTGAAAAATTGTCGCCAAGACCAAAATTGTCTCCACCCCAAAATAACCCAATTACTGCGCATCATCATCAATGTCGCCAAATCCATACATGGAGATTATTTTAACCATAAAACGTCTATGCAAAGAATCTCTAATTCTTTGAAGATCTATGTAAAGAAGAAAATTTTCCATATAAGTAAAATGCTATTACGCGGCCGCTAGAATGCGGGGGGGGGGAAAATTTGCCAAGGGATTTGGCGACGGAAACCTGGCGGCCAGAATTTCCCTCTCCGCGATGTGTATACCGGAAATTGAGGAAACGTGTTCAAGAAGAAACGTTCTTTGACAAAAAGAAAGCTACGAAAATCCGTTTTTAAATTATTGCGAAAATCCAAGAAGAAACGTTTTATCATAGGACGTTTCTTCTTGGATTTTTCGCAATAATTTTAAAAACGGATTTTCGTAGTTTCCCCCCCCCCTGAAAATTACTAACCTATGAATTAATTTACTTGCGCCAAAAAAATTTTCTTGTGCCGTGCGCTACAATATAGCAAGTGGTAAAGTGTCTCATTTACGCCGCGCTCCGCATCTGCGAGTGCAATCCAGAGCTGTAACTCGAGAAATAAACAATCTCGTTGTTAGGCGACGTGTGCACCATGTTATTTTCATTTTTGCGATAAATGCTTATCGACGTGGTGTTCACGTCGCTCGCAGTTTGAGACAAAAAACATCTCGACGTGCGTGGCACGTCTTTTTAGCGCAAGTGGTTAAAGAAATTTTAAAGGATATTCATTTAATGAACTCTTGATAACGTGACCTTCGAACTTCGACACCGGTTTCCAGCTTTGGCGGCAGATATATCACGCATGCACAGCTGTTTCCCTCTA